ACCTTCCTTCCGAGGAGTGGCTGGTGGGTTTGAACCACCAGCCTTCTGGTTAGCAGTCAAGTGCCTTAGGCACTATGCTACCAGAGCTCCTCCTTTATAAGTAGAAAACCCTATCTCATTTTAATGAGGAGACACCTTTCAACTATGCTGCCACTCACTATAAACCACCTACTAACCCACTGCCATTGAGTCAGGTCTGACTCATAGTGACCCCTCCTCAGGTTTCCGAGGCGATATCACTAGGATATCGCCTTCCTTCTGGGAATAAATCCTTCCTGCAGTTACAGGGCTACAAGATCTCATTAACAGTTGTTTTGATTTCAGCCTTCTTCAACAAGACATGCTGGTTTACTTTTTAACGTGAAATCTGAAAATATTTCTACGCAGAAACACTGAATATATTAATATATTAGCCATTTGTTTACGACCTCTTTTTCCTACTAAGGAGCTCTGGTGGCACAGTGCCTAAGGCACTGGACTGCCAACTGGAAGATTAGCAGTTCAATCCTATCAGCCGGCCACAGAAGGAAGATGGGGCAATCTACTTCCATAAAGATTTACTGCCTCGGATTTACTGCCCAAAAGGGGTCATTATGAGTCTGAATTGACTCGATGGCAGTGCATTTGGTTTTATTGGTTTTGGTTCTCTTTCCTACTAAGCTGTGAGCTTCTTGTGGGCTGGGACAATGTCTATTCATCATGAGTATTTCAACCTTACCATGGTGTACGAAGTGCAGTGTATTTCTAGTCCATTTTTATAAGTTTTACATAACGCTCTTTTGAATAATAATTTTTTTTTTCTCTATTTTACTTTTTAAAAAATGAGTTATAATAAATAGATATAATAATTAAACAATTCTCATTAAACATACACACAAACTGGTATGTCATTTGTTAGGAGCCAATAAGCAAATTTTATTTGTTTTACTAACTGTCAGCTTAAATCTGTACAAACTCCCATAACGAATATCCTGGAAATGGTAGTCACAAGTACTGCTATTACTAACAGAAAGTAGTAGTCACCAGATGCAGATAACGATGTAAAGAAGAATGGATCTCATTGTCATCACAGGTCTTTCAGTTCTTGAAAAGAATTAAAATTTCATGTCCCAATAGCAAAGGGGAGCTAATGAGTTACACTTGCACTGCAGTATACAGCTAAGTTTCTAAATGAGCTTTCTCTTGGCTATTAATAAAATTCCTTAAATTTTAATCACTACAACACATAGGAACTTGTTCAAAGTGCAGGATTATATACACACACAGATTATAATAAGCTTCTAAAAACAACAGGACTACTTTAAGGTAGCACTAGTACCTGTACGATCACAAAGTGACACAAACCTAAAAATGTGCAAATATATTAAGAATCAATATGGAGCTACAATAGTCTTTAAATTATTTCACTAGCATTGTACTACTAATTAATCCTTTAAACCAGATGTAAATTTAAAATCATGTTCTTGTCAGGTATTTTCTAGGGACAAGTAACAAAGAAAACACCTACTTTTCCACTTTTCATGTAATGCCACTGAGTAAGACAAATGAATAATGCTAGATTCACCTGTAGATTAAAAAGATAACGGATAACCTTAGTAGGGCAGGTTGCTTCATGTTCTAAGAAAAGTGAATATATTTGAACAAGCATTTTCTGAGGCTCTGCCTTCCTTTTTATCTCAATTGAAATCCTACCTATTATTCTTCCTTTAAGACCCATCTCAAATACCAACTCCTTTGGTCTCCCTCTTCTCTCGCTAACATTTAACTTCTTACCTGCATTTGAACCTATTTCTCTTAAGACTTATCACTGTATTTTGTTTCTCTCTCTTACAACTATTTTTAAAATGTTGTAACATGTAACATTATCTTATCACTCCTTTCGGACCAGAAACTCCTTAAAGAGCAGGGTGAATATCTAACACAAATCTGTAGAATTATAGCATAGCAACATGCTCACATAGTTGTTGAACTGAATTAAAGAGACAGGAGTCTAGGTTCAGGTTCTTCCATTCTGTCTGCTTCCTTGGGACAAGAGAGGACATCCTGTGGGCTATGGCAGCTAGAGCGCTCTTCACTCTTGCTGAGAAATATCAAAAAACTAAACTCTAGTAAATTAAACACAGTCCTAGAGATCAATGGACTACCTTTCCTGTGCCGTCTGGGTTCCTATGTAACATAGCTTCACTTTTCAACATTTGTGTTACTTTCCTTCTATTGTCAAAACAAATAATACCTATAATTTCCCATAAGTAGTACTACTCAGATACTGTAATTTATTACATGCTGTGACATGACTTTTGAAGAACAAAGGCTCTGATACAAAATTGTTGAACACTTTCTTCAGAGATGCAGAGCTACAGTATATACTTGCTGAATATGCTATTGAAATTTTGGGCTAAAGCTCAAAAGAAGAGTAGCTCCTTAAAATGTGTTAGTATTTGAGATCATGCAAGCCCATAATAACCTAACTCAATGCTTCTCTATTAACTTACAGACAATACACTTTCCTACTACAAATTCCAAGATCTCTCCTCAAGTCCCAGAAAACTATTAAGGGTTTTACTTCTATGTAAACAATTTTTTTAAGTTTCTATATTGTGCAATAATAAAACCTCACTTTGTATTTTGTAAAATCATATCTATTAAAATCATTTCCCAATTAGAATCAAAGAAATTAATATTGAAAGTTTTAGAAAGTAAAACTTCCATTAGAGATAATTACAGTTACATAACTGTCTAATATTACTCAGTAGATGTTTGAGAGCCACTAGTCTTTTTGGGGAAACAATATAAATATGCTATATATGTAGTTAACTTTGCATTTATGGGAAAGTGCAATTTTAAATAATACCTTTATCACTTCAGTGGTAGTAAACTGCAATAAATCAAGCACCTACCACCTCAATTATAATAAGATCAAAAGGTCTTTATGTCATTCTAATAGAATAGTTTAGTTTCTAGGTCTTTAAGAAAAAACGGGTAAATAAAATACAGATTACTTGTGCAGCTTAGAAGAATCAAGGAAAACACATTAAATACATTTGATTTCTAAAGATTTATAAAACAAGCATTTAGCCATCTGGAAACTAACACTTCTTTAGACAGAGTAGTCAAAAAATAATGGAGTCTAAAGACTAGAGTACTACTGCCTGCTCCTGCAAAGATTTAAGGTGAAACACCAAAGTCATTTATATCTCTATTACCATAAAAGTGATAGTCAAAGACAATGTGCTTGCAAATTTTTTTGAAGTCATTCATTAAATGA